CACCCTCGGGCTAGATATTAGGATAATCTGCCTAATGGCAAGGATAATGAATCACTGAAATAGGCTGCCTAAGGAGGGTGTGAAATCTGCCACAGTGGTGTTTTTTTAAGAACAAACTAGACACACATCTACTGGGAGTAATTCTGACACAGTCTGGTCTTTTGCCCACGGCTGGGATCAACTAAGAGATCAACTTCTTGAAATACCGTTCAATCCCACTTTCTGTGATTCGTGCAACTTCCTGAGTAGATACAAGCAGCAAGATCTGTCTTTTGTATTGTGATCTAAAAGTGTTGCCCACTTGCCATGTAGGTTCTTTGGTGACTGGACCTGGCATATGGGAAGCAAAGAGGAGTAGTGGTCTTGAGCTTTGCCCACAATCATCAAGGTTAATGCGCTTCAAAACTGTGTTTTTTAAGTCCTGACTGGTGTGATTTTGCAGTGCTTCTGTTAGCACATGAGTGCAGGTGTGTTTCATGAGCTATGCAGGTACTGTTTAGACTAGATTTGCTTTTGGTAAGGGTATGTTCTGGCCCCCTTTGAACCATTTTTGGACTAATGAGAACAGTCCTGGACTACAGATAGACCACTTTTACTCTGAGGTAGACTGTTCTTCCAAATTTAATTGTGTATAAATTTAGTGATTACCTATTTAGAAGCTAACCAGATCAGGAAACTTTTTTGGGAAGAACGAGTCCAAAAGCAGGGCAAAACTAGAATGCTTTGGTTTAGGAACTGTAAAGGCAGTGTTTGTGCTGAAATACATGCCATGCTGAGTCATTCGGGACCTGTTTGGTTATCTAGAATAGGCATGTTCTACCTATAGTGTTTGTTTGTGCTATTTAAAAATAAAAAAAAAAAAAACAACAAACACACACAAAAATCCCACCAAGCCAAAACAAAAGAGCTTTTTATGGGGAGCCCTTCTCCCCATAAATCTTGGGTGTGCAGCATGCACAAACCATTCTGAAGTGGGCAAACTGTGAAAAAGACAAGGCAGTTTTAATTCTTCTAGGAGGTCCGCTTTGGGTCAATGGGAACTAGAAGATTATCAAGGCTGAACACAAAGTATTTGTCTACTTAAGAATCTGTTTCAGGAGAACTATCCCAAGATTTGAAATGCAAGCTTTCTTTTTCAGGTATGTTGTGTTACCTGTCTTCTGGGTAGAATTCTTTAATCCTGCCTGTGTCTCTCATCAACATTAGTTAGAAGGCCCAAAGCATTAACAAAGTATTTTAGTGACTTGGGGCAGGAGAAGAAATGTGCGTTTATGTATTTTTCATTCATGTGTGCTTGTAAAAAAAGTGGGAATACAGCTCTTCTCTACATCAAGAGTAATATGGGAAGATGATAAAATTTCCAGCCTGTCTGACTGCAAATACCTCTTTGGTCTAACTTCTCTTCCGGTCTGACTTTGAATTTGAATATAGAAGTAGGTTTGACCCATAGTGAATATTGAAGTGCTTGACTAATTACATCTTTTAAAATGCAGCTTATTTCTGAAAGGAAACTGTAGAGTGGCATTGTATGATTCTTAGCTGGGTCACACAAACTTTTGCTTTTCAAATTGTCAGTCATGGAGTCCTAAACAGAATCAGTAAAATAAGATGGAAGTGAAGCTATTTCCACTTTGTAGATGTCAAACTTACTACTTCTAACACCATGAGCTGAAAAATCACAAACTCGAGACTTTATGTGGGCCTTCAATTTCTAGAAAAGCCGCATGTGGAGCCCTGGTGGCTAAGGTATTTTCATATGAGGCCATATATCCAGGTTTCCCAGATGCATGGTAAACCTGTTGCTGTTGGTATGTGCTCTGTATAATGTCAAAAACATACCCTTGCCATACACAGTTACTCTTTTTTGGGGAGTGTTGCAGAGTTATTACAAGTTTGTGAAGTTGGTCCAGTGCTTTTTGAAAAGTGTTGAGTGGCTTCTGCTTCACATGTTGTAGAATTGGTGTATGTGCACAATAAATACACCGTAAATTGAAAGCGTCGTAACTAATCTGCGTTGGCTAATCAACTGTGCAGAACAAATGCTGTAGGCCTGGAGTTTCCAATAATTCTCAGGCTTGTAACTTATGTTGCATGATGTGCACGCACTTTGTGTCTGATGAATCATGATTCCTTTCTAGAGAGTGTAAAAGCTCTATATATTCACATTTTCTTTGCTATCTCCCTGTCCATACATGCGTGGCTCCCTGCTTGCTTCCCTCGTATTCTAAGAGTCAGGTTTTGGTAGTGGAGAATGCATTTGCTGGTTTGCATCTCTCCTGGTTTCAGTCACATAAGACTTACCTTTTCTTGGGTATATTTGCCTGTGGCTTAAAACTTTTTGTTCTGTTGTATGAGGATATGGAGACTGGTAAAATGTCTCTCTGCCACACATCCTCCTCTGTGACTGGACACATTGGTAAGGCTTTTTTGTTTCTGGTGGAACTGGCCTGAAGTCAGAAGTATTTCTGGAATGCCTGAATTGGAGTTAGAAGGGAACACACTTCCAACCCAGTTAACATTATGATTTTATTGGAATTTTCTGTTTCAGTGGGCTATGAGAGGAATAAATCTGAGGCATGAAACAGGGGTGTAGAGGTTCTCAAATACAAGTATGTGCAAGACTGCATGGATGGACAAAGGGCAAAATTACATGAGTGTGGGGAGCATTTAAAAGCTGCTGAAGTGTGACACGTGCCACCACGAAGGCCAGTGTAGTTCTCGGACTGCTGTAGTGCTGGATACTCAATAGTGGGGCACTTTGTACCAAAATCTCATGGAGATCTAGGTGTCTTGGAAGAAAGAGACATTTGGATTCAGCAGGAAGAGTTGTTTCTAAGCTGGAGGTGGAGGAAACAGGCACTAAGGTATAGGAACTTGAAGGTAGTGGCAACTTTTAACACTGTCAAAGATTTTTCTGTCAAGGTTGCACTTTATCCCTTACCATACTATATATGTACTGGAAGCCACAATAGTGTTTGTTGTCTTTGGATATCTTCATTATTTTTGTTCATATCTGGACTAGGTGGGTAGTGGAAATGACTGGGGGTTTGCTGTTAAAGACACCTAGATGGCTGTGCTGTCAGGTAGGAGGATGCTTAGACTGCTGCAGTGGTTTTGCAAATTGGTTTGCTATGGTAACAATTAACAACAATATGTTATTATATTTTGCCCTGAAATGTCTTTTACAAAAGTCTTGAAAGAAAATAGATGTAGTCTGATACAAGCAATGTTTGTGTTCATCAGCTTTAAATGTTGCTTAAATTGTTTACCGGGTAGTGATAACATTAAGTCCTGGCCGTTGGCAGCTTTGAAAAGTCACCACTTCAAGTGTGACAACCACTTCTTGATTCTAGTGTGACTAATGTGGTTGTATGTTTCAGCAGTCGCATATTTCTATGTCTCCTTATTACTAGCTCATCTGCAATCATTAGGGTGCAAATACAACCTTCTTCCCTATTTCTAGACAGAAAGGAATCTAAGCTCCCATTAGTTTAGTTGACCATAAATTACTGTGAGTTTTTTTGGACCCATCACATTTGACTCTTCTTCCCAGTAGTTATCAAATGCATCACAAATCTTTTTATCATGTATTACTTGTTTGGTCTGTAAAGTACAAAATTAGGAGGAGGAATACACAATAATTATTTCATGGAGCATGGGTAAGCATAACATGCAGCTGTACTGTCTGTCAAAGTGATTGTCATAAAATCTGTTAGGAGACTTAAAGTCTGAGACGCTGTGGAAGGGTGTTTGACATAACTCAGTTCCATGGGAAAACTTGTTAATAGCATCATATGATGTGAGAAGTTTTAAGAAATCTGATTAACAGTAGTCATGAATTCTATTTATGCACTTACCTCTTCTTGAAGTAAACTGCAGACCAATTAACTTCAGTTTCCTTTTGTCTCTGTTTGATGCCTTTTTCCTTCTGGATAAGCAGAAGGCACTGAGTTTATGCTTTTGATTGTGCAAAGAAGCAGTCAAACGTTTTAACTGAAATCAGCATCTTCCTAGTGGTACTTTGGACTTGTGATGCATTCTCTTTCGTTTGTTATTACAGACAGATAACCAAAAATATTCTGAGTCTGACTTGAAGAGGCTTTATTCAGATTTTTACAGTCATTCAAAATTGATGTTGAGAGGGCTGTCCAATACAATAGCATCTTGACTTTTTCTCATCCTAACAAACAATAGTTTAATGCAATTAAAGCATAAACAGTGTCTAATGTTTATTTTATACCTGCCTGTTTACCAGACAGAGAAGGAGGCACTTAGATTTATTTGTCTGTAGAGCTCTGAACTGAGAACTGCACCTAGGCAAGCAATTAGAACTACAGCAAGCTGTAAAGCAAGGGAGAGTTGGAACTTTTTTTCTCCAGTTATTCTCTTTGTCAGGAGTTCACCCCAGGTCTCTCTTAACCTTTACAGGTCTAGAAGCATGACAGAACTGTGCATGTTGAAGACTTCTGAATGCTTCAGTAAAATCTTTTAATGGCTACATGTCAATCCTGTAGCCAACCTATGCTATGAAGGCTTTGCAAAGACTGCTAGAGGAGATACAGTTGTCAGTGAAAGGGGAAAAAAGTTCCTGTATGATGAGTAACATAAGTGATGCTGGCAACAAGGAGTTGGTGTCGAAGCATTTTGCCAGCATGCATATGTTAATTTGGCATGTAATGCATCTACAGCTTGCTACAGAATTTTTGCATACCGCTAAAATTCTGAGACTCCAGGTTGCTATAGGTTGTTGCTACGTATTGGCAGAATGGCAGCTGTTTAATCCATACTTCTCCTGCTGATTCCTCTGTTTTCAATAATATTGAATACCTGACTGCGTGACATCTTAATGTAAATGCATGTCTATATATCCAAACTCTTGCGAGGTACGAAATTTTTTATGCTAATTTGGGTTTCAGCAAAGCCTTTTATGAATAACTGCAGAGTGAAATAACACATGGCTTAGGCGGTAATGCACGTTTCCTTTCTTTCTTCTAGGAGGCGATGACCGCCGGGTCTTACTTTGGCATATGGAAGAAGCCATCCACTCAAGAGTCAAGCCAGTTCAGCTGAAAGGGGAGCATCACTCTAATATCTTCTGCCTAGCTTTCAACAGTGGCAATACGAAAGTGTTCTCTGGAGGTAAGGAAGGAAGAGCACCCTGATTTCACAGGAGTTTGCATTGTGAATACCTTAGAGTAGAAGTCATGAGCGAGATCTTGCCCCACATGAAAGGTCTTTTCCACAGTCCGCTAAAGATATGGGAAGTGTCCTTAATCAGCAGCTGAAGGCTCTTTGGGAACAGGGAATTCTTTAGCTAGCACAACATTTTCAATTTTGTCATGCTTCACCTTTTCCCAAACCTTGGCGTTAGCGCATTGTGTCTTGAGCTATCATGAGAATCCTGGGTCCAGTCTGCCCTTGATTGTGTTACAGACTGTGGAACATGGTCTTCGTTATTCCATCTTAGCTATACTGAGAGCAGACCCTGCATCCTCTCTGGCACTCAAACCTGATGCTTGAAAATCTCTGCTGTTACTAGCTTGGTTTAATGCACCGTTAGATGGCTAATGAAGGGCTATTGCCATCTATTGGTGGATCACTTTTTCTCAGGCCTGATTCCAGTGCTTCACTAGATAAGTGTCTGCCTTTTATAACTGTTGGCATATTGGGCTCTAATTTGCCTTGATATTCTTCATCTTTTTTAATATAAAAACCACTTTTTAACAGAAAATGTAATTCAGTCTTAAAACTGATATAAGGAAAATGGACATGTACTTGTTCTGGGGTAATAATCCCTAGAATTTATGTTCATTTCACCACTTGATTTTTGAAGTGTTGAGGTAGGGAGGGAAATTGAATTGAGAAGAAAAAGGCACAAGACTGTCAAAATGCAGTCAGTGTCATTTTCTGCTGTACTTCATTTCCTCTATCTGACATGATAATAGAATGGACAGGAATTTGTATCTTTCATTGGTATGTCTGTTAACTTATTTTAAAATATTATGAGACTACTTGGTCAGAACCCTTCATTATCTTCTTGAACCTAGATTTATGAACTGCAAATCAATGCTGTAAATTGATTCTAAGTGCATGTGAATGGTGGAAGCTTCCCATCCTTCAGTGCTGTGTTAGAACTATTAACATCCCATGGAAAAAAAAGGCATGACAAAGGTTAAGATGGTGTCAGATTTTAAGGATGAAATGATTCAGATGTATTTCTGAGGTGGAGAAAACCTCAAAAATGTCAAATAGGGATGCCTGTCTTCTGATTCTGGGGACTGCTGTTTCTTTTATGAGAAAGACAGCAGTCCATACTGTCTTCAAATGAATGTATCTGCATGAGTGATTCAATGTAATTTTGGGCTGGAGTCTGTTTTACTTTACTGTGAATTCAGACAAATGGAAGGTTACATGAATCTTCAAGGAATGAACAGCGTTAAATCTTGCTGGAGCAGCTGTAATGGTATTTTCTCATTTTCAACTCGACCCTCTGTCCATTGGGCCATGTTGTCAGAGGCTACTGTTTTCACAGCAAGGGCAGCAGTGTGGTGGGACTGTACCTTGCCACTGCAGTTAACACCTGCAGTTAAAGACTTACATCATTGATTATAATGGATTTTTGCTAAGGTGCCAGGTTAGATGAGCTGTGACAGCTGATACACAGACAAACTGGCCGTCTCATCTCTTTTTTCCTCCTCCAGTTTGCATAAACACACTGTGCCTCTGCCAGAAATCATTTCCATTGGAGGAGTCAGGAACTCTTTCAGCTGCTCCACCAAGATTCACAGAGCTCGTCTTCAAGGGCTGTGAGTCTGACTCTTGGATCCCTTGTAAAGAGTCATTTCTCTGCATGGCCTAGATGTACCATCTGTTTTATCTCTGTCAGTAAAATGGGGCTAACTATATTTGTTCACTCAACAATGTTCTGGGAGGTTCTTAAAAGGTCTGAAAGAATTGTGGGTCCTAAGATCTATTGGTCGTCACAACACTGAAGTTGGAGCTGCATTCAGATCACAGAAGTTGAAATACTTTAAAAAAAATTGTAAAAATTAGACTATGGAAACAAGCACAAGGCACACAGAACTCAATTCATTCTGTAAATAAAGCTGCCAATGAGTAATGACTTAGAATCTGACAGTGTTTCCCTGAAGCAGCTCTTGATAGCAGAGGAGAAAGGATTTTCCACTTCAGTACAAACTGAATTGCATCCAAGGAATTTCAAAGCTCTTTGCTTTGAAGGAGTGCAGGTGTAGCATGCATCACATGTGGCCATTACAGAAGTGGAAGGCAGGAGTGGACAGTGTCTTGCGTGAGTGTTTTGCATGTAATCTCTGGAGAAAAAGCTGTCTCAAGACACCAGAGAAGTTTCCATTCCTGAAGAATACTATTGCCCTTCTCTGTCTACACACACTGAGAGTAAAGCAGCATTTGAAATGAAAGATCTTAGTAAACTGCATGGACTTGTTTTGCATTTAAGTCAGGTATATGAAAAGCTGAAATAAACCTACAGGGAACTGAATTTGTTTCTGCAGAGGCCTGATGTGACAGATAGGGGGTTTAGGCCACCTTAACTGTGCTGCTCTGTATGTGCTCTGCAGTGTTTCATCCTCACAGGTATAATTGAAGGGAATGGCAGATACTTCTTGTCTTTTTGATCCTTGTAACTGCAGATTGTAAATGGGAGAGTTGCGTATACAAGTACGACTCAGTTATTCTCAAGAAGGAACTCTCCTTTGTTAAAGTGGAACACTGTAAGTGTGAACCCTACTGGGCTGAACAGCAGTGATGTTTTCTGTGGGGATGAATCCTTACTAGAAGCAACCAAGCAGTTTGTGGTTAGATATTTGTCACTACCTGCTCCTCCTACACACCAAACACAGAGAAGCAGTGGTTATTCCACACACCTCCTCCTTTCATTCTTTCTTTCTTTCCCATTTTAGAGCTTGTGATGAAAGGGAAGGTTGATGACTAGAGGCCTGAAGCCAGGCATCTATAATGACTCTCACGTTTGTACTGTACTACGGAGAGTGAGGAGCAGGAGTGTCTGCTGGAGGAAATTGTCACTGGAGAAACTAGGCTACATTTTTCACTGGTGAAATCCATAGGCACTAGAGTACTTTTACTAGGTATAAACTTTGCCTGTAATGTCTAATGGGCAGTTTCCATTGCAATTAATGATCAAAGGACACTTGCACATAAGTGACTTGTTTATTGTACCACGGAAAAGATGAGCTACTGCAGTAATCTAAGGCTAGCACAATTTAAATAGGAGCCTGTGCAAAGAGCAAGTCAATGTAGAAAAATCTCACACTTCGTTAGTCAAAGAAACTTTCTCATATTTGTTCTGTTGAGACAGAATACAAATTGAAATATGTATGGGATAAATGAAAATGACTCAACTGAACACTTAGGAATCATAATATGAAATCTTGCTCCTTCTGAACTTCTGGCTTTGGTATACATTAGGAAAGCCAACTGCAAAGACATACTGAGCATAAAAATATGACTGTGGGCTTTCTGGTTTTTTTCTTCTGGATTAAATGTAAATGTGTGTCTTAAGTATTTTGAAAGAGGAGGTGCTGAATTAGATAAACTAATATTCAGTGCAGAAACTAAAAAAATATTCTGTTGCTGTAGCTTGAAAAACACTGCATGAGCCAGTGGAATTAGTTTGTAGCTGTGACCCTCTTAGTCTGCATGCATGTGGTTCATTTCCGTAGTGTTCAATGGATGTGATCAAAGAGAAGTGACATGATTGTGTGGTTACTTGGTTTGGTTTTTAATACAAAAGAAATTACATTAGCTGTCACGTTCATGGCTTCTCAATGGTTGGAAAACCCTGAACGCTGACAGTGTGAACTGGTGGCATTTGAGCTGGGAACCCAGTGCATTTTGCTGATGGCATCTCTTTTCACCTTCCATTATCTTTTTATGGAGCATCCTCTGAGCAGGAAGAAAGGCGTATTCGCATGAGACTTAAAGGTGTTCTGCGTTTCATATAATACTGTCTTTACTGCTAGTGTGCCAAAACTCAAGCTCAAACTGAACAAAGAATGATCAGTAACATAGTTAAGTAGAATTATTTTTGAGCAGTAGCAGATGGAATGGTATGGGGCATTTGATCATGACTGGAAATGTCACATGGAGCTTATCACAGAATTGAGCTGAGAGCTGACCACTTTGCATCTGAACTGGTCTTCTCTCTGCTTCAGTTTTGTTTTTGAAATAGAAAATGAAAAAAACCCCACACATTTATTGTTTTCTGTTTTTTTCACTATAATGCGTTTTAACCACTGGAACATGATGTTAAGTATTTGTATTTCTCTTTATAGGCAATGATGAGCAAGTTATACTCCATGATGTTGAAAGGTAAGTACACAGTTTGTGTTTCCACTGCTTCAAGAGCTCCTTTAATGTCAACTTACTGGAGGCACATTTTGTTTTAAATTAGTGGTCTGGGAGAAGAGCCCAGTGTTTTAATCCTGAAATATGCTTTTTATTTATCTGAATTCATATCTGGAATGAAGTATTTCCCATCACCCCATTTTTTTCAGCGCTTCGGTTCTGCATCGTTTTGACATTGGGAATGGTTACTAAATACATATGCTCTCCTGCTGGCTGTATAGTAGGTTCTGAGTAGATTTGGAGCCAGATTATTCTGGCACATATACAAGTATTGTGGCACGTATGGACTTGTTGTGTTTTTGTAGTTGTTTTTTTTTTTCTGAAACACTCACCTGACTTGTGTTTAGTATAGCTAGTGCTTAGCCTACCTAACTACCTTTAAAAACTTTGGGTGCATTTGTCCAATTCTCCACACTAATGCAAAGCATGTTTATTTTGATACTTACTTTTTACCAAAACTGCAAAGCAGTTGGGAATTAGACTTTGTTGTGCCACATCAAGATTAGACTGTTAGTCAAAATATAATTAATACAGTAATGTTAATATATTAGATTGAATTTCTCTAGATACCATGTCTTCTGAGCTTACTGCTTTCAATGTAGAAAAACTAGAAGGTTAAAATTTTGGTCTGTACTAATAACTTCTACAGATTTAAGCAATGATGCTGTAAGTACATGAACTCCAGAAAATCAAGTATAAAGAAAAAGCAGAAAGAGAGATATGTAAGAACAGAGAAATATAAAACCTTAAGTCTTTTGAGTTGCCTGAATCCTGGTTATCATAATTTGGACATATTTCTGGCTAGATTTGTCCAAAGCCTTTTGCACTGAACTGATCAGTATACATCTGCCTTCCATTGTAACTTATATCTACTTCTTGTATAAATCTTACATGAGTGCTGGGCAAAAGTAATTTTGTCTTACTCTTCTAATGCTTTCTCAGGAATATTGTGTTGTTTGGTGGTTGGTTGGTTGGTTTAGTTTGACTTTTGGGGGGTTTGGGCTTTTTTAGGGTGTGTGTTTTTTGTGCGTTTTTCGTTTGGTTTGGAGGATTTGATTTTGGGGGGGTTTGTTTGGTGTTTTGTTTTTTGTTGTTGTTTTTTCAATTGAATGTGGAAGTGTCAAAATTTTAGATGCTGGTGTGCATTGTGTTCTGACTTTTCAAGCTTCTATAAAATCTTTGTCCTTGACGATTTTCTGTAAAACGGATTTTTTACTGCTATGTCTTGCTAAGATGTTTTAAAAAGTCTTTTTGATATGTATGTATTCTTAGTGTGCTTTTGTTGTCAGGGTTTTTTTTAGGTATGCTAAGTCCAGTTGCAATGCATATAGAATTCATTCCTCAGGCTATTTGTGTGATCTTCTGAAAGAAACTGTACTAGTCTGACACACTTAATTCTGACTGATTTCTATAGAAAGTTATTCAGTCTTCTTGGATGATAACACTTGGTCTATCAACTACTTTTTCATACTTTAAAATGGCTTTTTCTGTTACTGCTTTTTTGGCCTTTCTGGTAATGGTCCATGAAACAGAATTAGTAGATCTGTCACTAAGAACACCAATTGCCATGTGAGCAAACAACAGATTTTATGTGGAATGTCTTTGGTGGAGTTTCCATGAGGTATAGGGATTGTACACAATGTACATTCTCTAAAGAAATAAAGGGGTTTTGCCAAAGGAATAAACCAACCCCGGAATCTTCTGTCATAATGTTTTGTCTTTTGGCATCTCCGTGCTGCTCTTTCCTTCTTTTTAAATGGTCTAAAAAGTTGGGAAAAGATCGGAGAACAGGCTTTTTCTCTTTTTTTAATAGTGGTGGCATGGCTGATATCTAGGTACTTTCAGGGGACTTATTTTTATTTTGTTCTTTATTGCTGCTTTTTCTACATGGAAAAAATGCAGGTGTGGTCTATCCTGGAGAAGCAAGAAAACTTATTAAAAAAGCCAGCTGGAAAGTTGCTCTTTTGTGAGCTTCAGTTGAACTTTCAAACGATCCAGAAGCCAATATGAAGGATGAATTTCTGTGTTGTTTTCCTTCTGACATTAAGTAGTAAAAATTTAGTCTACAGGTCCCAAGACCTCTTTCCCGTTCCCATTACCTCCTGCCAAGCTTAATCTAATACAACATGATTTCCATAGTATCTTGTAGTTTCTGAAGTTTCTAATGTGTGGGTTTTGGTCTGAGGGTTTTCTTTTCCTCGTAGCATGACATGTTGGTCACTCTGTGTGGCTTTTTTTTTTGTTTTTTTTACACTACTTAAACACAAAGGTCTTCTTATGAAGTTACGTAAACCTCGTCACTAAATATTACTAGGTAGATAAAGTTGTAAATAGTTTGCTTTTTAAAACAATAGTGAAAGAAAGAAAATCTATAGTATTGTGTGTCTTTTTTACAGCACTGAGACCTTGGATGTGTTCGCCCATGAAGATGCAGTGTACGGCCTTTCAGTGAGCCCAGTAAATGACAACATCTTTGCCAGTTCATCAGATGATGGCCGAGTACTTATCTGGGACATCCGAGAGTCTTCCCATGGAGGTGAGATCTCTAGATGGAAAAGATCATTGATTTGGGAAGAATGTGAGCAAGGCAGGGAAGGGAAGAGTTATGTTTGTCTGGGGCAATTGAGACAGGGAGTGTTGGAGAAGGGTGAGAGTGAGGCATAATTCTTGTGGGTGATGATAGGCAAGCCCTGCTCTTTGCACTTCAGTGTTACTGTCTTAAATGACTTCATAAAGTACCAGCATACAGGGCAGGCTAGCACTTGGTATGAATAGGTTTTAACTTGACTAAAGAAGCAGTGGAGGACATATTTCTTAATAAAAACATCTTGCTGAACTTGAAAGCAATTAGGAGTGTGGATTTTTTTTTCTTGTCTGTAGCCCGGGATAAAAAAATTTTGGATGTTTAGAAAGCTGTTATTTTTATTTGAATGATTTTCCAAAGCTATTTATATACTTCCCTTTGACACTGAGAATTGTTCTTATGCATAATGTTTTCTGGTTGTATGGAAACTTAGAGCCTTTATGTGATAACAGGGAAGTTGAATTATTACTTCAGTCTTTGTTTTCTAAAACAGAACTGAATACTGTTAATCTATGTAACAAACCTGCAGCTTCTCAAAACACTGCAATCTATGTTTATACAGCTGCAGTTTTAAGGCTGAAGAATCTCAGTTTAGAACTGTAGTTATGTAAATTTGGAGAGGAATACTTCAGTAATTGAATTTCAGTATATGAATACTGAAGTAATACCTCAGTAAATGAAGTTGTGAGTTTGCCCTGTCCTAAAGAACACAAAGCTGAGAATTTAAAACCGAGTAATCTGCAGGAGTACAGAATCTGGTTCCCTTCCTTTATAGCTAAAATAAACTTTCTTCTTCTTTTGTAAGCTGTTTAAATGTAATTGCCTCGACTTGGAGTTTCTACTGGTCTTACAGGAAAGTTGTTTATGGCACTGAAATACAGCTTATGTATTTTGTGGCAGTTTGTACACATTGGGGTTTGGGTCAAAGTTGCTGTTTAACTGAATTAGCTTTTTGCATACCTAGTGAATTTGACAACTTTTCTAGACTGCGATTCTGTCCCTGTTTGACTAGGAAATGAAAGCTGAAGACGTACTTTATATTCTCAGAGGAGTCTTTTAGAGCTGCTTGTATCAAAAGGGCTTTATTGATCGTGAGTAACCAGGATTAGGTCAGTCTTGATAAGCCCCACCAGAATACTTGGAGGAGATTTCTTATTGATGCCCTGCCTACCCCAGACCTATTGCGTTTGTATAAATAAAGATTAAATATACTACCACTGCATTCAGTTTTCAGTAGGCTGATTCTTAGTGTGAATTGACTTGTGCAATTGTGATACCCCTTATCTCTTTCCCATCTGGTGATTTTATTAAAAGATTCTGAAAAACAATGCACACAGTGTATGTATATCACAGATTTTAATAAAAATATCTATAATGTCTATTCTCTGGATCAGTCTTTGAGGAACTTGTTAATAATCTCCCTCGTGCTCAGAAGTCCCATACTAGCACAGTGAACTGTTGTCTTCCCTTCAGCCAGTTTCTTACCCCATGTAACTCCCTTGCTAATCCCTTGCTAAACTTGATACTATACCACATGTGAATTTAGTCCTCATTAGATCTACCACTTTTCCCCTGTATAAAAGGTCAGTTACTTTATCAAAGACAGAGATTAAATTAGTCTGATGTGAATAATTTACCTTTGGTAAATCCAAGTGTCACTTCATCCCTATTTTTCTGTTTTCATATATCCAAGTGATGAGACCAGACACTGAATGTGGCTTCTAAATTGGAATTGGTGAAATGCTCCTTTATTGCCTTCTCCTGAACTCTACTTCATAAAGGTCTGTCTCTGTTAGGAGGACTACCTGTTGCTGACAGTGGATGTCAACAGTTGGTGGGACTGGATGCTTAAATGCATCTGTATGAAGCTGCTTAGTATCATAAGCTAATGTCCGATCTGATCTGTTTTTCTTAAATTGCGTGAAAAGAGGTTTGTCCTTTGCTGTAGTTAAAGCTTGCTACTGCCTTTGCTGTTGCTGAGACTTTGAATGAGAAGGCTGCACCAGTGAAAACGGAGTGAAGAAGTGTTGGCTGTGGTGCATTTTGGGGCTTTTTTGAAATGGTGTCTTAGGTTCTCTGAATTTTTAATAAAGGGCTTTTGCATGCTTAGATAGAAGTCCTGAGTCAGCATCTATATATGAGCCCTGCCAATGTTTGCTACAATATAATGCTTGTCGCTAGGGTAGTCCCCTTGCCTGCAGTGGTATTGTCATGGGAATAGGTGCTATGGCTGCCAGCATTAAGTATAGTTAGTTACCTTGAGTGGCCAGCTCATTAAAATCTTGCAAATAACTTCCTAGTTTAAAATAGTGCATTAAAAGAAGCTGGAAAAGGAATTTCATTCCCCTTCTGTTTCTCCCTGTCTTTCACTGCTGAATGATTTATGCAGTAATTTTTATAAACCCATTTTTAATTTTTGTTAAAGATGGAGTTGAGCTTCTCCTTTGAGAAATGTTTTCGTACTCCAGTGTATAAGAGCTACCATTGTGAATGAGCATAAAGAATGATAAAAAAGTAATCCACCTACTTTTCATTGGAATGACTTAGTGCTTCATTAGTTTAGTTCCTCTAATCGCTCTTTAATTTGACAGGCTGAAGGGCAGCTTTTGATGTCTTGGAAAACTGTGGTGGCAGGCTATTTATAATAAAGGGATGAAGAAAAACACCAGTAATTAGTGACAATGATTTGACCAAACAAACGTACACAAATTAGAAGTTGATTTTTATAAAACAACCCTTTATTTGGCAATCTGATGTTGCTTGTCTCTCCACTCAGCTAATGCAGACCATTGCCTCTCAGTGGGGGCTGCCATGTTAGTAACGCAGCCTTTTATGTCCCAGCAGGGATCTGATTTGATGATGCAAATGTAGAAGGTCAGTTTTGGTGTTAAACCTTATTTGGAACTGCCAGCAGACCAACAGCAATCTCTAAACCCTGTGGGCAGGCAGAAGTTTGCTCCTGCTCTTTTCTTTACCTCCACCTCCTATGACAATTAATAGCACCAGGGAGCTTCAGCCATGGTCAGAGACCTTTGTTTTGATCAGTACTAAATGAATGCGAAAAAGGAAAGTCTCTGTCTCAAAAACCATGTGGTAAAACAGAAGAGGAGGACGCAGATGGGGCAGGACAAGTAAATGCTAGTTCTGTCTCAGTTGAGTGTTGGGCAGTAGTTTCAGAAGGTATTGGGAATTTGGGGGGGTTATCTGTTTAACCATGGTTTATATGTCTTAATGAGGGATATGAGGAAAAAAAATGAAGTATGTTTGGAGGTGCTTGTGGGCTAAAGGTGCTGGCACACAGTGGCTCAAATAAGGGCAGTGAGAGGGTCTTCCAAGCATGTGAGCAACACACTGGTTGCATCAAATCAAACGGTGAATGGAAAAGTCTGGCATAATCCCTGTCTCAAACAGGCGTTGATTCTGGCTTCTCGGTTGAGTGAAAGAGTGGCAGGATGCCACAGAAGATACACACCGAAAAGGGAGTTAGACTGTGCCTAAAGCCGTAACGCTAGCAGAAAGATGTAGAGAAGGATGACAGTCTAGGCTTTTTCTGACTCTGCATGGAGGCAGCATTTTGTCGTAATGAATAGGGTAGAGTAGCAGGCCAAACATTCTTGTTACACTAATCAAGATGAGAGGGAGAGTCTGGATGAGCATGTTTTTAGCTGTGCGTGAACAGTAAAAGCCAGCTGTTTTTATGCAAGAGGAACACTCTTGTCTATGTGTACAGCACTTCACATAATCACAGAATGGTAGGGGTTGGAAGGGACCTCTGTGGGTCATCTAGTCCAACCCTCCTGCCGAAGCAGGGTCGCCTACAGCAGGCTGCACAGGACCTTGTCCAGGCGGGTCTTGAATATCTCCAGAGAAGGAGACTCCATCACCTCCCTGGGCAGCCCGTTCCAGTGCTCCGTCACCCTCAGAGGGAAGAAGTTCTTCCTCATGTTCAGACGGAACTTCCTGTGCCTCAGTTTGTGCCCATTGCCCCTTGTCCTATCGCTGGGCACCACTGAAAAGAG